AACAAGGGGAGAAGGTTGCAGAATCTATTCTAGCCACTCTTGTCCCTCCGCTTTTGCATGCGTTGTCTAAATAAAAAATGAAATTGTTAACAAATCTGACCCTTGTTCCAAGTGAAAATGAAAATTTTTTATTTCGACATTTTTGGCGCTTCCGAGGGTGTCATTGCCATTGGTAAGATCTGACCCTTTGACTCCGGGTGAAAATTTTTTTTTTTCAATTTTGACTTTTTCCACATACTTTTGAGAGTTCTGAATAGCCCGTCGCTTAAATAGTTGGAATCAACGTTCACCCGGCTAAAAAATTCGATTTTGGCGAAAGTCGACTTTCCTCCTGGAAAACGGAAAATATGACCCTTTGAAAATCTGAAAAAAAAAACTTTCTCAGTTTTCATTTTTTCCATGTACTTTTGAGAGTTCTGAATAGCCCGTCGCTTAAATAGTTGGAATCAACGTTCACCCGGCTAAAAAATTCGATTTTGGCGAAAGTCGACTTTCCTCCTGGAAAACGGAAAATATGACCCTTTGAAAATCTGAAAAAAAAACTCTCAGTTTTCATTTTTTCCATGTACTTTTGAGAGTTCTGAATAGCCCGTCGCTTAAATAGTTGGAATCAACGTTCACCCGGCTAAAAAATTCGATTTTGGCGAAAGTCGACTTTCCCCCTGGAAAAACCGAAAATCTGACCCGTTGGCACCGGATGAAAAAAAAAATTTTCATTTCGACATTTCCGGAGACTCCGAGGATTTCATTCATGGGTTGTTATTGCGACCTGTGAGGAACTATTCGGTCATTGACATTGACGTTTTTTCAATTGTTTGTTTCGATATCAACGAGACTAAATATTAATCGAATCACGAGCTTGACGAAGCTAAAATAATTAGCGAAACGTCGCAAAATGACAATTAGATAAATGCCACTCATTTTTCTCCGACCTCCCTCAATATTTTTGGATAACTAACAACAATGGGGATGAACCAGAACACAAAGTGTAATATGAAGTCAACAATTTTGTACCAAAAATATTTTCCCCCGCGTTATTCCCATCAACCACAAGCCCCCCCGTTGATAGATATTCCACCATCCACAAACACTCACACATTCGATTGAATACTCCATTGAAATCTCAGGAGTTGTCGAGATGAGGACCTTCTGAAGGAGCGAGAGATGCGGGTAATGGGTTTCTCTCAAAGGAATTCCAGGAATTAATTGAACGTATATTCCTCGTTAGTGAATTGTTGTCAGAAGATAGGCGTGTTCCCACTTCGAATCCACTTCGACTCCCCGTAGCTTAAGATAAACCCAGGAGATGCCCAACGAGGGTTAAGTGGAGGGTCTCTCCTTTTAAAGTGCTACAGGGTTATCAGTATTTTCCTTTGATTCAGATCCTCACTGTTATACGGGTTATGGCAGCAACAATGGACCCATCGATTCATTGAAAATGCGATTGTCTTGGAAATTGATACACAAAGCTCGAGGAAATATCGAAGATCGTTTCCTGGTTCTCATACTGAGGACACTTTGATATTGAATAGCATGGAGTGCTCTATTTCAGGGATGTTTCCAGAGAATTGAAGAGAAATGTCTCCGGGTGGATATAAGTTTCAATTTATATGGATTTCCTTCATGCTTTTCAAATAAACTGTTCAATCACATTTTTTTCCCCAGCCTTTGAGCGATTCCTCGGATATTTTCAACTTGCAGAGGAGATTTTTATGGCGGCACTCATCGAGTCTTGAAGGATTCGGAGAAATTATCGTGAAGAAATGTATTTGGGACAGTCCTCTCAGTCAGGGAAATTCCCAAAAATATCTCTTTTTTCATCTCTTCTGAGGATTGTAATTATCATGTGACTTTAAATTTGGATAAGTTGTTTTGAATTGTGGGGAAGTATCGAGCGACTGATACTTCTATTTGTCTAGGAAATGTTTGAGATGATGAATTCAGTCCGGGTTTTTCTCAGCGTGATATACCATAATGTGAATATAAAATTCTACTGCATGTTTTCTAGTAATTAGATTGTGAAATCAATCGACGGAAACTTGGGAAAACTAATTTAAACTGAGGTAAATCAAGTTTCTACAAAAATTCAGGATTCATGTGAATTTAGTAGTTAATTGGTAAACGGTAACAAGTTCATTCAGCCCCGAGTTAATGAATCCGAGAGAGATAAAAATATTTTTGCAGCGATTCTTTTGTAGCTTTCATTCCACTCTACAAAGGAAAATTCTTGGAGTATTTCACTGTCGCTTGTAGATTCAGAGATATTCCTCTGAAGTTCAACAAGGAGATGCGTCGACTGTTACCTGTACCGCGTCATAACTAAACTACATTGTTGAATTCTGCAGAATGCGCACTCGAATGGAGGAAATCCACCTTTGTCAATTCCTTTTTGAACTGAAAATTGAATGGGTTCTTTGAAGGTGTGGAAATTATTATCAAGTTGGTAATATTTTTATAGACAATGATTAATCCATTGCGATGTCTTTCTCAGCAGAATATTCCATGATGTCAATAAATATAAAATCTACTGCATGATTTCTAGAAATTACCTTCGGGAATCAATTTATCAAGACTCAGGAAAACTAATTTAAACTGAGCTAAACTTAGTTTCTATAAAAATTCAGGATTCATGTGAAGTAATTCAGTAGTTAATTGGTAAAGGGTAACAAGTTCATTCAGCCCCGAGTTAACTTCTCGAGAAATACCTGTGAATCCGAGAGAGATAAAAATATTTTTGCAGCGATCCTTTTGTAGCTTTCATTCCACTCTACAAAGGAAGATTCTTGGAGAATTGTACTATCGCTCGTAGATTCAGAGATATTCCTCTAAAGTTCAACAAGGAGATGCGTCGACTGTTACCTGTACCACGTCATAACTAAACTACATTGTTGAATTCTGTAGAATGTGCACTCGAATGGAGGAAATCCACCTTTGTCAATCCCTTTTTGAACTGAAAATTGAATGGGTTCTTTGAAGGTGTGGAAATTATTATCAAGTTGGTAATATTTTTATAGACAATGATTAATCCATTCCGATGTCTTCCTCAGCAGAATATTCCATGATGTCAATGAATATAAAATCTACTGCATGATTTCTATAAATTACCTTCGGGAATCAATTTATCAAGACTCAGGAAAACTAATTTAAACTGAGCTAAACTTAGTTTCTATAAAAATTCAGGATTCATGTGAAGTAATTCAGTAGTTAATTGGTAAAGGGTAACAAGTTCATTCAGCCCCGAGTTAACTTCTCGAGAAATACCTGTGAATCCGAGAGAGATAAAAATATTTTTGCAGCGATCCTTTTGTAGCTTTCATTCCACTCTACGAAGGAAGATTCTTGGAGAATTGTACTATCGCTCGTAGATTCAGAGATATTCCTCTAAAGTTCAACAAGGAGATGCGTCGACTGTTACCTGTACCACGTCATAACTAAACTACATTGTTGAATTCTGTAGAATGTGCACTCGAATGGAGGAAATCCACCTTTGTCAATCCCTTTTTGAACTGAAAATTGAATGGGTTCTTTGAAGGTGTGGAAATTATTATCAAGTTGGTAATATTTTTATAGACAATGATTAATCCATTCCGATGTCTTTCTCAGCAGAATATTCCATGATGTCAATGAATATAAAATCTACTGCATGATTTCTATAAATTACCTTCGGGAATCAATTTATCAAGACTCAGGAAAACTAATTTAAACTGAGCTAAACTTAGTTTCTATAAAAATTCAGGATTCATGTGAAGTAATTCGCTAGTTAATTGGTAAACGGTAACAAGTTCATTCAGCCCCGAGTTAAGTTGTCGAGAAATACATCTGAATCCACAAGAGATGGAAATATTTTTGCAGAGATCCTTTTCTAAAATCATTTCTGTTCAATAACATTAATCAATTAATACTCAAATTTCTATTCAACCGTTTCATTTCTTACCAATTGATTATTCGGTCATGCATACATATACATGTTATTAATCAATTAACTATCCGTATTATCCCAGAATCTAGCACCCCCCCCCACCCTTTCTTATTAACGCATGCCTAAGCCCTGAGAAAATACATAAATTCACCGAATCCGTCGGATAAATAATCTTGAATTAATCAATCAATAAATTTTCCTTTTATTCCAACAAATTACTTTGTTGTTGGTAATAATATCCTCCCCCATTCGTCAAAACCAGTGTAGAATGCGTCGTCATAAAATTTAGATGTCCCTCTCTTATTAGATAATTCAATGACAAAAATTAGAATGAAAAGAGGCACTTGAAATCTTTAATGCGGTTTCTTTTGGTCGTCAATTCGGGTTAAGTGATCCATGAATAATTAAGAGGCCACGCCAGGTCGCACATCTTTTTTGTTGTTTTTTCATTACTAACAAATCAGTAGCGAAGTGGTAAATCGGTACAAGTCAAGTTTGATTATTGACCAGTTTTTAATGAATATCTCGGAATCTAAGAGAGATATCAAAATTTTTGTCAGAACCTTTTTTGTAGAGCCGATTGAGTGCTATAATAAATGTGATTACGAAAATGTCGCTATCTCTCTTGGATTTGACAATATTCCTCAAAAACTCAACTGGGAGATGAGTCGACTTAAACCGTTTTACCACTTCGCTACTGAAATTATTTTATTGAGGTTTCAAGTTGCATATTCTTGCGAGTCCACGTCAAAAAGCATCACCTGATACGAAACTGTTTTTTACGGTATTTCACGGTGCATGTAAATATTGATAGGACAAAAATATCGTCAATCGCGCGAAAATTTTTACACGAGACTCGGATTACCATTTGCTGTTGAATTCATCCACTCGTAAAGGATTATTCGTTTCAACAGGATTTGCTTAATTGATTCACACAATTGGTTGAATAGTTTTCAATGCACGAGAATATTTTGTCTATCCGCGAATATTCAGTGCAAAGTGCTACGAATTGTCCCTCAGAGTGAAATATTTTTCCATTTCCATGGCGTTAAACATAATGTTGAACTGGAATTTCACTCACGTTTACATTTCGTGGGACTCTCGTCAGAATTGTCGGTGCAGTCGTCGTGCCCGTCGCATACCCATGGCATCGGCAAGCATTTTCCATTGTCACACTGGAATTGCTTCAAGGGGCATGCTTTTTGCGCTGGAAATTAAATTCTTTGTGTTAAAATTTACATTGCGCCACCACTTAATTCTAGATTCTAGATGAAGAATGAATTTATTGTTGATGGGCAAATGGGAACGAGTGGAATTACTAATTTTTTTCATTTCATTAGAGAACAGATGTTTCAAGCAGGGATCCCCATTATTGAAGGTTTAAAATATATTGATTCAGTTTTTCAAATAATATTAATAATCTGATTTTTTACGAATAATGATATATTTAAAATTTGTTAATATGAAACTGTAAATTTACTACTAAGTGAATAATTCAAATTTCTTGAAAGGGGATTTTCGATTACACAAGTAATCGTCAATCTTCCTACCTCAAATTATTGATTTGTAAAATAGTTTAAAATTCTAATATTTGAATTGATGATAATCGGGCGAGGCCGGAAGGTTGGAAAAAAAGCAGCCATTTTTTTCTTTTTTTTTTTTTACGTATTCGTTAAATGATGGAAAAGGCGTGTGCTAAGTTTCAGACTGCTGGGGAGCATGGTTAATTTGTTATGAATTTTTGAAAAAGTGGTCATTTAACCCGTGATCTTATGGAAATCACAAAAAAAACTGCAAAACCCAAGGAAAAAATGCAGCCAAAATCATGAAACTTTAGACACATTTAGAACATGTGATCAATGATTTTTTGAGTGAAAAAGATTGTCGCCTAGGAGCATTGTTTATTAATAATAGCGAAAAAAGTACTGAAAAATGAAATTTCTGCGCACGCAGCCCAAACGAGCAGCAACGTCGCAAGTACCGATCGGGTGGGGGTAGCGCGGTCAATTTAAACGGCTCTTGAGAGAGAGCGATGAAGCGTTGTAATTGGAGCTCCCTCGAGCCAGTGGTACCGGCTCCTGGTGGAAAAAAAAACTACCGACGATGTTGCCACTTTTTCGCATGGATTAATATTTTTTCATTTATTATAAAAACACAATCTGAAAACCATTTAATGCGTGGAACAGATACAATTAAATTTGATTAGCTCCAAAAATAATTTTTAACCGGAGATACTCCCTAATATTGCCTGAATTTTAACTGTGTGAACTTGGAGTCGAAGTTTGATAAATCGATTTTTTTCTTATAGTATCGATTGTACTCAGTGAGTGCCTAAATGTACCACATTCTATTTCGTTTGTGCCACGCATTCCTAGACGTAAGGGGTGCGGGAAAAATCGTGCAGCGACGGAAATGAAGGTACGGAAAACATTTTCATGAGCAAGGATTCGGCATGGATAGTACTTGTATGTACTATATTTTTACATTTCATTTATCAACCCCTTCAATACTTTACCCGCTTCTAAAATCTTAAATGTATGAAGGACGTCAGGAAAACATACAGATAGCTTCTAAATCGTTAGTACTCGTTTGTACCAACGAAAATTATTCATTATTATTATTATTCTCCTCATCAAATCACCTGATTCCATTTTTATCAACCGTAAAATCATCGTAATGGATGCCATATGTAGTTCGTAAAGTTTTGATGTGGGTACAAACGTCTCGTCTTCCGTACTTCCACTCCCATCGCAGTACAAACGGAACAATTTACTGTACATGATAATGAGACCAAGTACAAACCATTAAGAGCTTCAAAAACAGACGTAGATTATTAAAAAAAATGATACAAACGTTTTTCTGAATTTTTCCGAGATAATCGCGAAAAACGAAATCGCCAAAAAAAATTAATTTAATTTATCTGGTATAGGGTTTAGGACGTGGAAAAACGTAATTTTGAGCCGTCCATCTTTCTATACGGAACCCAAAATTGGTTTTAAGGCTCTATCTCTCATAGTTTCCGAGATAATCGCGAAAAACGAAATCGC